AAAGCCAAAGGAAGCAGGACAAATAAAACAAATAAACATCATAAACAGGTCAAATTAAGTTTAAACATTTCTGGATGACACATTGTAAACAAATTAGCCAAAATTACTTCTTGGGATTGACAATAAGACCAGTTAATAAATTCAACTATATAACGACAGAAGGTAAAATAAGCAATAAACAAAATCCTTGACACTTGTAAAATGAAAAATTTATTCTGGTCATAGAAACTTTTAACTAAACACAAAGTGAAAGGCTTGGGTTACATTAATCAGTCTAAATGACTTGATTATATTTAAAGGTCAACTAGTTAGAATTAGCAAACATTTTCTATAAACATAGTTCAACCTTGGAAGAAAGACACGCACACCCTTTATGTGACATGACATTTGAGTGCTTGATAGGAATTATAAAAATGTATAAAATATTAAATCCAACACTACTTAGGCTGCTACCCCCGCGACCCGACCCCGGATAAGCGGAAGAAAATGGATGGATGGATGGTCTATATTTTGCTGGTCCATCGGCGCATAATTTCACATCCTGAGGCCATTGCGCTGGGCTCTCCGTAATCCCAAAGCTGTGGAGCTGCCAGCTCTTGCTGGAATCAAATACTGGATCACCAGTGAACAAAACTTTGATCCAAAAGGACTTCCTCTGTGACTGAGATGGAGAAGTGTTGGCGAGTCTGGCACTTTCAGCAAACATGTACTTGTGCTGCTATTGGGCCAAGGAGGAAGAATAGCATTGGAAACAAGAAGTACGCCGATGTTCTTCGTCTTGGAGGGACTTGAACAGTGAATGTTTGTAGTTTTGAGATGAATGTTTTTCTGGACTGGAATTGAACAGGGAATGTGAGTACAGTAGTCCCTCGCTACTTTGCGGTTTGATTTTGTGGACTGGTTTTCGTGGTCTTTTAAAGTACAGTACTGTAAGATTGTACCAAAAAAACAGCACCACTTTGTAGTTTTCTCAATAAGCCTATACTGTACCACCAGTCTAAAGGACTAGATTACCCAGAAGGCAACAGTGCACTACCTAAAAAGGCAAAGTTACTTTCTGCTGGAGGGAAAGTTTTATCCAATCCAAAAAACTTCAGTCCTTACAGTATTCATAGTGACTTTAGTGCTCAGTGGATGCAGAGAGCTGATCAGAATCGGACCAAGGCTGTGTAGGTCTGCCGAACCGGACCAGAACCAAGCTGTGTTCTGCAGAGCTTCTGAGTAAAAAGGTATTACTACTCAATCAGCTTAAATTTTTAAGTTGAGTGAATAAACATCAAATATCTTGATTAATAAACTGTTGCTAAATAAACTTTAGACTTAGTTGATTTCAATATATTGTTGATTGAACTGTTTTAGTTTGTTGTTTCAACTCAAAAATCCGTCAGTTCTATTTTGTGGATTTTCACTTACGTAACACCCACGATCAACGAGGGACTACTGTAAACCTAAATGTTTTTTGTACAAGTGGCAGGAGTTGCACTGTGGTGGCGAAGTAGGTTTTTTATCTTGTATGAGGCAGCACAGATAGATGGATCCTGGAGACATTTTATCCACCACCAGGTGCAGAGCTGGAGCCAGGGGGTGGCCCATGTTGGCCTTGACCACCATAGATTAATCTTCAAACACCTCAATCATTTAAGGCAACTATAATTTTAAGCAATAAAAAATAAATAAAAAAGTTACTCAAATGATACTGGTGGTCGGTATACATTAATGGCAGTGGCCATCTTGGATTTTGATGTGGCAATCAAATTGTCAATAGCAACACTTCTTACACCTAAATATAATCACATCAAAATACAAGTCCTTACCTCGCTTATTTTTCAAGTTAACCAGCTCACAACACAAACGGAGGGCATTTCCAATTCCCCCTTTACTCTGCGACGGGACAACCAAAACCATCCAGTAGCTGTGACACTAACAGGATAACTAACCGTGACCCCAGCAGATTGATGCAGAACTTCACAATGAACACACAATGTTTTCCCAATTTATATTTTTATTGTCATAGTAGTTTGCTTTGATAATATCTAAATGTGTCTGGACACGTTGCCCCAACGCCACATGAGAAACCAAAAAGTGGGTAAAAGCAAAGAGTAACATGTAGAACCAAATTCAACTTCTGGTTTTAACTATTTCATTTCAACTTAAGATCTGAAAATCTATTCTGAACTCCTGGTCCACATGTGAATACAGACAGAACTTTTTTGTTGTTGGTGTCATTTATGACAGAAATAAAAAATATATATATATATAAAAAAAAAAATAAAACGTCATGAGTGGGTCCCAGTGGGTGTGTGTGGGGGAGACGATAACCCAGAATGGCATAACAGAGCTCTCAATATGAGAAGGCTGACTCATGTGGACATCATAGTTGTCTTTTCTTTAAAAACACGTTTCTTTTCTCAAAGCTAAGAAGGGGGGCGTGGCAGGGAGGTGCCGCTGACGACCATGGGGTGGGGGGATATCAGCCCGTTACTTCTTGCCAAATCTCAAGACAGCTCGATCCTCTTCAGTCCCTCTCAGCAACCAGCTTCAGAACCTTTCCGATGGCGATGGTCTTACCTGATGCAGAAACACAGATTACTTCATATGTTTAATCATTTCCAACATGTTAACCAACATGTTATAACTCCACTAACTTTGACTTTGCAGACTCAGGCTGAAGTCACACAGCTCTGTTCAGATGAACAGATGTGACCGACACTGACTGACTAAACTCCTGGAGCAGAGAGCATGTTCTGATTCTCCACCTGCTCAGCTACAAACATCACTTAACCTGAATGTCCAGGGATCAGCCACAGATAACCAGCGGCACGTCGCTGAAGAATTCAGTAGTGAGTATTTGTAGTTTTGGACTTGAGTGTTTTTGACATGGCAAAAGCCACAGACCAAAATGGCAGTTGGCTTATTGCTTATTTATCAAGTTATCCAGCTCACAAGGTTTACATACATTATTATACATACAAGGTGGCAGCCATCTTGGATTTTGACATGGCAACTCAAGTTTTCAAAAGGAACCACTCTCCTACTCCTAGATGTAACAACACATTAAACATGGAACTCTGAATCTTGATTCTTTTTCAAGTTTTCATGCTCAACACATGCAAGGATGGTGGACAGAGCATGTCCAATCCCCCCCTCTTCGTTAACCCTGACCCTGGACCTAGAAGCTGGGGTGATGGAAAGATTGTGCCACACTGTCCAGAAGTGGTACAAATGTGCATCAAGTTTGGTTAAATTATCTAGAATGGATCAGAAGTTCTGGTCTGGACAAACAAATGATGGCGGTGCATAGCGACACAGTGGCTCAGTGCTTTCCCGGATGTTGGTGCTTTGTTTTTTATGGATTAAAATGTGTATGCTTTTTGTTCAATGTGCATTCTGTGAGGTGGAAAATCGCTACAACTGGAACATTCTTCTTAGGATCGGAGTTTCCTGTGAGCAAATCATTACAGCCAAGTACCTCCCCTCACACAACATACCACCCGAGATGGAGAGGAGTCCCGGATCACTGTGGTGTATGATCCCCACGGGGAAGCGAAGGAGGCAGCGTAGGGAGAGAAAGCAAAAGTGTGGATGCAGGGCCAGTGTGCATGTAAAATTAAGGAGACAGCCACATAAACCACTGCTTCCCAGTCTTTGTCTGGCAAACGCAAGATCCCTCGCCAATAAGGAACAAACTTCAACTACAGCTAACTTCAAGCCCATATTTCACTGTGACCTAGATCCTGTGGGGTACTGGTCCGGGGGGTGGGTTCAACAAACAATACGTTTTGCCCTTACACCTGGATTATTGAGCATGGATTTTGTTGTTTTGCCCTTACAGTTTCATAACTTGGATCATTTATTTACAAAGTGTGCATCTTTTCTCACTACAGTGTTTTCTTTTGGGGTGGGGGTGTTTCCTAAGAATTCTTTCAAAGCTTCTTGTTATAGATAAAAAAAAAGGAAAAAAAACGTTTTCTGGTTTTAAGATTTTCATTGATTCTAATCTGTTTGTCTAGCTTGTCTGAATTGTTACAAGCCATGACGTTTTTAATTTTCAAGAACTTATAGTGACGAGTGTCCATAAATTAAAAATATTAAAATGCAATAAAGCCCATACTGTGGTTAAAACAAGTGATCAAACTATTATAGAACAAATAATTGCACAAAATTGCCATTGACATTTTTTCATACCAAGATTTCTTCGTTACAAGGACTTTATTTTGGTCGGGCTGTAGTCTGGGTTAAGAGTGTGGAGGTGTTCCACTGATCAGGAGCAGCAGAGCTAAAGACCTTGTTGCCCATGGTGCACAGTTTTGAGCATTTCTGTGGATGGATTGGTGGGGGAGTAAGGAAACCTTATTAACGTATTTTTAGTTTAACATTTTTCTTAATTTATATCTTAGATCTTATTACTGTTTTTCTTTTACATTTTAATACTTTTGTTGGATGTAATTGGGACCCTGTGTACACAATTTCGTTCCACCACATTTAACACATGTGAATCTAAAGGACTGCCTCCCAAGTTTTAACCAGCATGTGGGCATATCAACACGTGGAAACAACACGCTGGATCGTGTTTACACAAATGTAAAAGATGCATACAAAGCCGAACCCCGCCCCCACCTAGGATTCTCTGATCACATCTCAGTTTTAATGGCTCCTACTCGCATGCCCCCGCTGAGATGCTCCAGACCGGTATGAAAGAAAGTTAAATGTTGGATCCAAGACAGTGGCCCCATACTGAGAGATTGTTTTGATCGAACAGACTGGCAGGTTTTCAGAGAAGCTGCTGAAAATGGAGGATCTCTTGATCTGGACCAATACGCATCCTCAGTTCTGGGTTACATTAGTACATGTACTGACACTGTCTCCACCATAAGATATGTTAAAAGCTACCCGGACAGAAAACCTTGGCTGAATGCAGAGAAGCGCACCCTGCTGGAAGCCAGGAACACTGCCTTCAGGTCTGGAAACTCACAGGAGCTGAGAAGGACAAGGAAAGAGCTGGTTGCTGGTATTAAGAGGGCCAAGGCCACATTTGCATAGAGGATCGAGGGTCAATTCATCTCACAAGACCCTCGGAGCATGTGGAGGGGCATTACGTGATTAACAGATTATAAAGGAAGGAGTGAACAATGACCTAAAGACTCTACCTGATGCCCTCAACAATTACCATGCACACTTTGAAGACCTGAACAGACCACCCAGCACCAGACTCACCTCACCACCGGATGATCCAGCCCAGACAACAGCCACGGAAAAGTGTTGAAAGAATGTGTCGATCAGCTCTGCGAGGTGTTGGCAGACATCTTTAACACCTCACTTATCCTGGAGGTCAATCCCATCTGCCTGAAGACTGCCACCATCATCCCAGTCCCAAAGACCTCTACAGTGACTGATCTGAATGACTATTGGCCAGTGGCCCTCACCCCGATAGTCGCTAAATGCGTCGAAAAACTGGTCATGACTCACATCAAAACAACCATCAACATCAACGAGGACCCTCATCAGTATGCATACCGTGAGAACCGATCAACAGAGGATGCCATCTCCTCTGTGGTCCACACTGCGCTCAACCACCTAGAGCAGAAAAACTCTTACGCCCATATGCTCTTTGTGGACTTCACATCTGCCTTCAATACCATGATCCCCCAAACCCTGACGGACAAACTATTCACAATAGAACTAAGCCCATCCATTTTGCAACTGGGTACTAGACTTCTTAACAAACAGACCACAGTCAGTGAGGATACACAACTTCTCCACCACCATAACCCTCAGCACTGGCTCTCCTCAGGGATGTGTGTTGAGCCCCCTCCTGTTTACTCTGCTCACGTATGATTGTGCAGCTACCCATCAAGGCTGTCACATTGTAAAGTTTGCAGATGATACAGCGGTGGTGGGATGCATCACAAACAATGATGAGTCCAGCTACAGGCAGGAGGTGGAACACCTGGAGAGCTGGCGCAAAGAGAATAACCTTCACATCAATGTGAAGAAGACAAAGGAAATGATTGTGGACTTCAGAAGGAACAAACACACCTACACCCCCCTGAACATAAGAGGATCTGCGGTGGAAGTGGTCTCCAGCTACAAGTACTTGGGTGTACACATGAATGACAACCTCAGCTGGAGCAACAACACCACCAGCCTGATCAAGAAAGCTCATCAGAGACTCTACTTCCTCAGACGGCTGAGGCGAGCTGGTCTGGGAAGCTCAGTCCTCACCTCCTTCTACAGGTGTGCAGTGGAGAGCATCCTGTGCTCCAGCATCAATGTGTGGCATGGAGGCTGCACAGCTGCAGAAAGAAAAGCTTTGCAGAGAGTGGTGAAGGCTGCACAGAAGATGTTGGAGTCAGTCTCTCCACCATCACAGACATCTACACCTCCAGATGCAGGAAGAGAGCCACCTGCATCATGAAGGACCACACTCACCCAGCACACACACTTTTTGCCCCGCTTCCCTCAGGAAGGAGGTTGAGGAGCATTAAGTGTAGAACCACTAGACTGAGGAACAGCTTCTACCCTGAGGCTGTTAGACTTTCTAACCAGAATAATCACTGAAAAAAAATCACACCATGTTGCTGCTGATCTGTTTCATGTTGCTGCTGATCTGTTTCATGTTGCTGTGTTCATGCATGCTCATCTGCTCACACACACTCATGCTCGTTCGTGCTGTTTGTCATAATGTTTTTATGCTAATAGTGCTTAGTGTATATTTAGTTGATGTTTTTCTTAGTTCATATCTTAGATGTTATCATTGTTCTTCTTATACATTTTTATTGTTGGATGTAACTGGGACCCTGTGTACATAATTTAGCTCAACCACATGAGGTGCGAATGACAAATAAAAAACCTTTGACTTGACACATTCATACAGCAGTCTACTAAACACTAGGAGTGTAACGGTACGCTAAAATCACATTTCAGTTCGGTTCATTTTCGGTACAAAAAAAAGCCAAAATAAAGACTTGTTTATTTTGAAAATATGACAAGTAAACAATACGTTTGTATAAAAATAAATAAAAGTACCCATTTGGATGATATTTTAAACAAAAGGCACTCTTTACAATAAATAAACTACACTAACATTAATAAAAATCTTAATAAATACAATAACAGTCCACAGAACCACAACAATAAGCAGCAACAAACTGTTTACAAGCTAACTGAAGTTTGAAGTTTTTGGCCAAAAAGACCAATTTGTCCACATTTTCTCCCAAAAGCACAGATCTAGTTGCAGTGACATGATCTCCAGCGGTGGAGAACATCACTCACTAACAACAGTAGCAGGAATAAAGAGGTCGAGCTTTGCTAATGTTGCAGTGTGGCTGCATGTGGCCTCATTATTAGTCACAACCTCTTGGACCTGCTCCCACCTGTCCCTGGAAAAGTTCAGAGTTCACTCATCACAGATTCTTAGTTGGAGGTGATCTCTGGTGGATTTCCCTGAACAGGAAGACTCAGCTGCTATCTCTGTCCCAAACTGGAAATAAAACACAAAGAGGTAAAAAAGAAAAGAGTTGATAAGATTATAATTTTAAATAAAAAAAAGTTAATTAGATAATAATAATAAAAGAACAATACCTCTTCTTGAACAGTTGTTATGAGGTGGTTGAATCTCTCTGTCATCATCATCATCAGGGCAGGACTTTAATCTGGTCCAGGGCTTGTTGACAAGATCAGTTTTAACTTTTTCATAAAGTGCTGCTACAACTTTTTGGCTGAAGTGTTGACGTGATGGATGTCGTAGCGGGGCTCAGTAACTTTAAAGCCGGCGCATCAACAACAGAAACGTAGATCCAGAGCTTTAAAAACTCCTACAGCTTGTCTTATTGCTCTGGACCGATCTGAATTACCTGATAAAGGTTGTTTACATGATGCTGTTATCAGTCTTTGCAACAAGCTGCTAGAAGAGACGTTCACGTTCGTATGATGTCGTTTTAAGTGCGTTAACAAGTTCGACGTGTTGCTGCTGCAGATCCAATCTCCGTGAAACAACGTCGACTCACAGCTTTGGATTTGTTCACTTTTCTTTTAACAAGAAAGACACAATGTTCCCAAACAGGAGACCACAACAACATGCTAACGCTAATGCTACATGTGCTGCGAGACTATGGCGCCGTGCTGAAACACGCTTAGGAACTTTAGTTCTGCGGTGCATAATCTCTCGTTAATAAAATTTAATGAGCGAAAAAATAACAGAAACGGTACACACATGGACCGAACCGAACGTGTTGTACTGAAACTGTTCGGCACACCCACGTGTACCGTTACACCCCTAACTACACACACATTCATACAGATATGATAGAAATGATATATTTACAGATATAGCATACAGATAAGAAAAGCAGCTAGATTCCCACTTCACTCGCAGCGTATTTCCTCCCCCAAAGCCTTCCTGATGAGCCTTACCTTCATCCCGTAAGGTAAACCGTCCCATCTGAGGAAAGTCTTTAAAGGTCTCGAGGCAAATGGTTCCTGCCGTGCGCAAACGGGCGATGCAGACCTGGTCCTGTTTGACAAATCGAGGTCGTGTCTTACTTTTCTCTCCCGACTTCTTGTCTACTAGACAGATTAAGGCCTGGAGGGGCGGGAAGGCAGATAAATTACTGAACACGTCAACAAACTCACTTCAAGTTCTACTGGCAGAAGTAAAAACTTGAACGCTCACTGTGATCTGCACTTCTTCAATGCATGTATGAATGTGAAGAACTGCGTTGTAACCTGGACAGATGATAGATTTGTGTTCAATGATGACAATCTGTGGAGAAAACAAACAGTCGTAAGGACAGGAAGTTCACAACAAACAGTCCACAATTATCATCAGCAACTCCACCGTTAGCTAAAGATCACCTGAAACATGTTCTCAGAAAAGTTACTTTGAATGTTCAAATCTCACGAGTTCTGACCTGAAGTTCTTGGATATTTTTTACAGTTCTCTGTTTCTCATGTCGGTACAAGCTGAGTTGAGGTGCAGAAGCTGCACATATGAAGTGATGACTAGGTGAAGCCTAGCACGCCGGACACTTTCTCTCTAGGAAGGACCAGCAGAGTGCATGCTGGGTAGTCGGGTGTTGAATTGTACATCTGAATATTTGAGGTGAAAACAGAGCCTTCTAACAGGAACACGTAGCCCCTTTTTGCAGCAGTGCAGTGCAGGATGGCGGAGTGAGAACTAACTCTCAGCTCAGCTCCATCACGGTCTGGAGAAGGCTGTCCCAGCTAAAGGAGAGGACATGTTAACCAGGATGTCCTGATGCTGCTCAATAATCCAGCTCCATGACCCTAACCAGGTTGTCAGGTCCTCTGGACGCATTCTTCTTGTTGAAACGTTTCGTCTTTAATCCCAAAAGACTTCCTCAGTCTGAGGAGCTGCATTCAGCCCAGTCTCACCTCAGACCCAGGAAGTCTTTCAGATGAGAGACGAAACGGTTCTACTTTTTGTTGTTGTTTTGCTTCGTTTTGTTTTTGTGAATGTCCAGAGGACCAGATTTAACTTTTTTAGATTTTTCTACCTGGATTATTGAGCATGCATCAGGAAATTATGATTTCCGTTTTGTTTTTAAACAAAAAACTAACGTAAAACTGAATTTTATTGTTTGTTATACAAACAACAACAAAAAAACCTTCTTGCTGTTTTCCTGTCATTTATTTTGCAAATACTCACTTTAACTTTTTGCTTTATTTAATTATTTTTTCCACCATAAAAAATAAATCACATAGGTCTGCACAGTTCATTGTTGTGTTTTAATAATAATAATAATAATAATAATAATAATAATAATAAACTATTTCCCCTTTCTTTACAAGAATCTGGTCTTTTACTTTGTGTTAAGTTGTAAAAATATCAATAAGTGTTAGAAATAATGAGATATTTTAAGCTTTATAATGTCACTTCTGCCACAAATGTTTCCTCCAACAAACTTAAAGTGGCCCATGGGCCACCACTTGATAATAAGTCGTTACAGCTCTGGACACGTTTAATTTAGTGAACGGAGGCGTAAAAATGTCGTGTGTCAGAAAGTCATTCTGTGTTGTCTGTCTCTACTTCCTGTCCTCTTAAACCCGGCCGGTTGAAGCAGGTGGCCGCTCGTCCCGAGTCTGGTTCTGTTGGAGGTTTCTTCCTCCCACTGTCTCCTTTGTGCTTGTTCATGATGGGAGACTGAGAAGATTCAACTAGTCTGCTGCTTCCTTAGAGAACTGCTACTCATAGTTTGTTTATGCGTGTGAATGTTTCTGTTCAGAGCCCTGAGATGACGTCCGTTGGGAGCTACAGAAATGAACTGGAGGTTTAGTCAGGCGACGCTGTGTTTGAGTAGAACCTTGTTGTCATTTGATGGTGGTTAAAACTGTCGCTTCGCTGCCAGCTTGGACTTTTCTGCTTTCTGACAACAGACACAGTCATGTGAGTGAGAGCAGCTTTGTTTCATCTGTGAGCTGGAGACTCGACCCTCTTCACTCTTCTCATCAACTGTGGCTCCCATGACTCGTTCTTGTATTTTTGTCCCTTTGTTGCATGATTTAAAAACATTTCCCTAGATTGCATGCACCGACCTGGGCATCGAAGGTGCGTCCTGAATGACAGAGGTTCTCAGCGTTGCACAGGATGAATCCAGGCAGGATCTCCTCCTCCTCGATGCCCTTCAGACGCAGCTTGAGGTTTTCACCAGGAGCAGCGTCGTCCGTTTCCACATCGTCTGATAAAAGACTCAACACTTCCACCACGTGCTTCAGCCCAGAGACAGACAAGACATGAGATGAGTGAAGCTGAACTGAAGGTACAAAAATCAACCCAAACAATGCTGCGCTGCTGCCAGCAGCTCACACACACCGACACACATCAACAGACCAGTTTGTGCAAGTATCCAATCAAAACCTGGGGCTAGTTATTCAGATTGCTAGTTTCAATACCAGTCTGAGGTCCAAACCAGTGAGACGGAACCTGATTGTTCTGCCTTTGTTTGCTGATGCTCATTAATCAGATCCATTTTTCTTCTGGTTGTTCTGCTGATTTGGTTCCGGTTCAACAATTCATGTCTCAAAATGTTCGGCTCCGTCACGACATTCCTGCTGTGACCTTTAGATATTTGTACTTTTTGAAACACAGGAGTCCCTCGCTACGTCGTGGTTCAACTTTTGTGGACTAGCTCTTTGTGGACTTACAGTCAAAACATTGGAGTAAATTAGTTTTGATCGTATTTACACACTGTACAGTAATATATCGCTGTGAACACAAATGCCAGAGATGCTCAGTCACGTCTGCCTGTACGGCACGGTTGTTAAGACGGAAGCTGCACTGGTCGTGTGGAGTAACGGCTGCAGAACAGAAACATGACTTGGTCTACCAGCACCATCTGACAAAGGTGAAACTAAATTTATGATCATCTTGTTGTGGCGGGGGGAGCAGGCCCTGGAACCTACCCCACGCGATAAACGAGGGTCTACTGTGTTTAGCTACGTCGGCCATGTTTTTCTCTCTGGATCTCTCGTTACATCCTTCAAACCCTTTGTGCTGTTTGAAACACTTTACTGCTCATTTCAACTTTTTTATACTTAATTGTTTTTTTTGGTGCCAGTTTCTGCTTGTTTTTGTAATCTAATCAGCTACTGCTAATTTCAGCTTTGTTCAGCTGTTTCTACACATTTCAGCTGTTTTTCTGCTACTTTCCACTTTTATATTCCTGCTTTCAGAAAATATGAGCTGTTCAAATTCATTTTGCTTAACATTCAGCAATGGTTTCAGAAAACTAACTGCGTTTGTACAGAAAACGATTTGTCTGCTTCACAGCTGAAATGTCCCGATGAGCCGGTGCGGTTCATTTCATCTTATTGAACTTGATAGAAATATTGAATCAGTTAAGTGTTGTTAAATGACTTAATGCTTTTTACTGTCCTGTTCACCAACACCTCACCCCCAGAATCAGGGCAGTTCTGTCTGAACGATGAGACATTTGTTGTAACAGCTGGCAAACAGCTAAACCTCTGTGAAGTCTTGAATTGAAGGTTTGGAGGACTTCTTACCCTGTTTGGCATCATGACGAGCTGCTGAGCCTTACTGATGGAGCCCGACTCAAGCTTGCCCAGAACAACGGTCCCCATGTCCTGACGAGACATCGACGCTCTTTAGAAAATAGCCAGTTCTCCTGTTGGACGTGCTTCAAGCTGGACAGCCTTACCTTGTATTTGTCTACGATGGGCAACCTGACAGGGCCGTCACTTGATCTGTTGAAACTCGGCAAACTGTCCAAGTGAGGAATGAACGGTAGACCTCTTCAAAATAAAATGCATACAAAAGGTTAAAAAGGCTCAAACAAGATGGTGGTTGCTTTTTAATCTGCATTCCTGCACAAGTTTCATTTCACATTCTGTAACTGAGTCCAATTGAAAAACGTTGTTGCAGTACAGTAGTCCCTGGCTACTTCACGGTGCGTTTATCGCAGACTTGCTCTATCACAGCTTTTCAAAATAAGACTGGTCATGACACAATTGGCTGATTGATGGATGAGCTACTTTATTCTTTCCGTACGTACGTTCAGTTTTGCTGCCATTTCAACAATTCATATCTCAAACTGTTCAGCTGTTTCAGGACGTCTGCTATGTCTTTTGCTGCTAGTGCACCTTTAGCTTCTTTAGCTATTTAGCCTTTTCTGCCATTTTGGCCCTCATTGAAAATGAATGGAGCAAATTTTTCATCCTCTATATCTTTTGATATGTTTACAACCTGTTACTACTAGTTTCACCGTTAGACCCGGTTCAGCTTTTTTCAGCTTCCTTATTCAAATTTCTGGACAAATTTAGCTACTTCAGCTAATTTCAGCTGTTTTGTACTCCTTTCAGCCCAATTCATCTAACTTGAACATTTTTGTGCTTCTTGAAACTTATTAATACTAAGTTCTGCTCTTTTCAGTTTATTTCTGTATGTTTATGCTTTTACAACTAGCATTGAGCTGTTTTTATAATTTCATCTTTATCAGGTAATTCCATATTTTTTTACAATCATGTAAACTTTTTTTCAGCCTAATTCACCAGAAACAAGCTCCCCTGGCTTCCTTCTAGTAATTTAAGCTTCTTTCTGTATGTTTTAGTCAATATTTAGCTGTTTTCAACAAAATTCAGCTTTTCTCAGATAATTGCAACTTTATTGTGCTAATGTATGCCTAGTTCAGCCTTAGTGGCCACAATTAAGCTTCCTCCACTTCCGTTTGGAAATTTAAGCTTCTTTCTAGATTTTTTAGCTACTGTGCTGCCCTTAAGTCATTTCTCTGATTAAATAAGTTCATAGGTTTAAATAAATAATTCTAAAAGGAATGAAAAGACAAAATATACATCATTATGTTACAAGAATCATTATAAGTTGTTTAGATAAACAATTCATGTTTTAAGTTTTTTGTTAGAAAATATCAATGGTAAAGTGTACGTCCGGTTTCAATCGTTCATTTCCGGTCCCGGTTTCGGACTTCCGGTTCTGCTAGAAAACAAAGGTCCACATGCAAGAAGCAGTATGGAAATGTAATCAGATATGATCCACGCTGAATTATCAGGCAGGAACGCCGTAAGTTTCATTGTACTGAAGTTTATACGAAGAGGGTTTGATATTATTGCTTATTTTGTGAAAATGTTGTTTTAGTGAGTTTGATGCACTATTTGTGTAAACATGCGTTGTGTGTTGAGATAGTGCATCTTCTGTCATTTCAGTTTTCACCACATGTTCATGAAGACAATTAAACAAGCTGCAACTAAACTCCAGGGTCTTCATTTGTGGTTTAGCTCGGTGTCACCAACATCCTTGTTGAAAACACTACGGTGAAAAGGCGCCAATTGATGATCATCACGGTCAAAATGGCATCCAGTAACAAGTCTGCATCCAGTTTGAAGACCAGCCGCTCATCTGGATCAGCAGTAAGCGCTGCTTATGCTCGAGCTAAAGCAGAGGCTGCTAAGGTGAGAGCAGCCTCTGCAACCAAAGAAGCACAGTTGAAAGTTGAAAAGGCACAAAGTGAAGTGAAAAAGGCTCAAAGAGATGCAGAATTAGAAGTGTTCACATACAAAAGGAGGCTGCTGCTGAAGCAGAAGTGCTGGAGGAAGCAGAAGCAATACAAGAGGCCTGAGAGCAGAAAACCTCCATCAGAAAAGGCTAAATTGGAACGTACAAGTGAATCTTTACAATCTCAAGTGGACATCATACAATCTCCATGCTCACAACAATTACCAACCACTTCTCACCTGCAAGTAAACTCACCTGACATTTGTAACATGGCATCCCCCTGATGAAGTCAAGTTAGAGCTACAACCCACGAGCTCTGGATTAAAGCTTACTAAAAACAATGTTGCTACCTGAAATATGCCCAGTCAGCCTAGAAGTGAAACGAAACCTAAGCTGCAGAAACCGAACAACCCTCTCAACCCAATTTGCTCACCATTCACGCCTCACTATAATGCCCCAGCCAGCATTTCACAACCAGTTGAACCATTTGCTCAATACATGGCACGCTGAGATCTAATCACTTCAAGCCTTTACCAGTTTGTTGACAGGCCAGAAAATTACAGAGCATGGTGCTCTTCGATTACTAGTGCCACAGCTGAAGTCCATCTAAGTCCCATTCAAGAGCTAAATCTCATGACAAAATGTTTAGGGAAGGAGTCAAGTGGTCAGACAAAACACATTCGCTCAGTGCACGTCAACAACCCCACATTAGAACAAAGTCCATGCTCAATAATCCAGGTATACAATCCAACATTTTTCAGTCATGTCATCTGAACAGGTTCTTTTTTTGGTGCTGAAACGTTTCGCCTTTGATCCGGAAGGTTTCATCAACCAGTTTGACAAGACTGTCAACAAGGAAGAGGGCCGGCAATGGAGGAGGGGGCGTACCAAAGAGACCATCTTATCACAAGCAGAACTGGTTTGTTCCACTTTGGAGTAAGCTGTTGGAGGAAGAATCAGTTTTGTTGTGCGTTTCCTTGACTGATGAAGCCTTCTGGATCGAAGGCAAAACATTTCAGCACCAAAAAAAAAAAAAAAAACTGTCCAAATGACCTGACTGAATAATGTTGAACCCCACATCAGCTTTGTGCAAAACATGGGAAAGACTAAACGAGTGTTATGCAGCACCTGAAATAATTGAAAAGTCACTTTTCGAAAGACTGGACAGTTTTCCAAGAATAACAGTCCAAGATAACATCATGTTGCGTGAACTAGGGGATCTGCTGCAAGAGATTCAAAGCGCCAAGGAAGATGGATATCTCCCTGGCCTACAATATCTGGACACTTCTCGTGGAATTGGCCCAATCGTAGACAAACTCACATATGGACTTAAGGAGAGATGGATGTCACATGGCTCTCAATACAAAGACGAAAACCAAGGCTTTTTCCCACCCTTTGAGTATTTCTGCAAATTCATATGCAAAGAGGCAAAGAAACACAATGATCCGAGTTTCCACCATCAAAACAGCCAAAGACGCTCAAAGAACTTTACTCTAATAAGCCAGTTACTGTACACAAAACCAATATTTCTCTCCCTGACAAGGATTTTAATGGGAACTGCCCACTGCATAATAAGCCACACCCACTCAAAAAATGCAGAACAGTTAGGAATAAACCCCACTATGAAAGGAAGGCCTTTCTCAGGGAGAAAGGAATAATCTTTAAATGCTGCTCCTCAGACACTCATCTTGCAAAGGACTGTAAATCGGCAGTAATGTGTTCTGAATGCGACAGCACAAGCCACGACGCAGCCATGCGTTCTGGTCCTCCACCAGCACAAGAGATTGGTGGGGAGGGAGAAAACAGTCAAGACACAGTCTGTGTCACAACAAACTGCACAGATGTGTGCGGTCCAGGTCAGTGGGGTCGTTGATGTTCGAAGATATGTCTTGCGTGGGTGTATTCTTAAGGTTACAGGGACAGAGCTATCAAAACTTATGTAATACTAGAAGATCAGAGCAATTGTTCCTTAGCCAGGCCTGAGTTCTTCAAACTTTTTGACATTAAAACTGAAACTTTCTCCTACAATCTTGGGACATACTCTGGTATTGTGGAAACACGGGGTAAAAAGGCTGAAGGCTTTCAGGTAGAGCCACTAGATGGATCATTAGTTATCCCTCTACCCACACTCATCGAGCGTCAGGAGAGTCCCAACAATAGGAGCGAAATTCCAACCCCCAGCGCTGCGCTACACCAGCCACACCTCCAATCCATAGCAAAGTACATCCCAGAACTAGATCCTAAAGCAGAGATACTCCTGTTGCTAGGGCAAAATGTTTTACAAGTACATAAGGTCAGGCAGAGAGTTAAGTAAAGTACCTGAGCAAACTCTGGTACAAAGAGTTTTTAACCGGATGGAAAAGGACAAAAAACCTGCTCCATCAATTCAAGACACTCACTTATGAAAATAATGGACAATGTTACGTGTAGGGATGAGGACAACAGTTTGGGCTCTCCATTCCCATTTAAAGAACCTCGCCAGCAACTGCCAAACAATAGAGAGCAGGCAGTCACAAGGTTCTCATCCTTGAAACACAACGTAAACAAGAAACCTAAAATGCAAGAGCATTTACCCACATTACGACAAAGGCATAAATGGACTGTATCACGCAGAAACCTCCAAGCTGGTGATCTCGTTCTACTTAAGGACAAGCAGGCCACACGCAACAGCTGGCCCATGGCGAGGGTTACTGCCACATTCCCAGGCAAGGACAATCGAGTAAGGAAGATAAAGGTAAAGGTATGGGATCAGGGTGATGTGAAGACATTTATGCAACCAGTTACAGAAGTTATCCTCCTCATGCCAAAGGACTAAATGTATAATATATTGTTTGGTATAATGGCCTCACGAGGCAAGGTGGGGAGTGTGCTGCCCTTAAGTCATTTCTCTGATTAAACAAGTTCATAGGTTTAAATAAATAATTCTAAAAGGAGTGAAAAGACAAAATATACATCATTATGTTACAAGAATCATTATAAGTTGTTTAGATAAACAACTTATGCTTTAAGTAAGTTTTTTGTTAGAAAATATCAATGGTAAAATGTACTTCCAGTTTCGATTGTTCACTTCCAGTTCTGGTTCGGGACTTCCAGTCGAGCGGTTTTGCTAGAAAACAAAGGTCCACATGCAAGAAGCAGTATGGAAATGTAATCAGATATGATCCACGCTGAATTATCAGGCAAGGACGCCGTAAGTTTCATTGTATTGAAGTTTATACAAAGGAGGTTTGATATTATTGCTTATTTTGTGAAAATGTTGTTTTAGTGATCCACAAAAGTTAAGTCTGGTCCTGTGGACATTCCAAAAAACAAAACAAAAAAAGTAGAAACGTTTCGTCTTTCATCCGAAAGACTTCTTCAGTCTGAGGTGCTGTATTCAGGTCAGTTTTATAAATTGCACCTTCTTGATCAACCAGTTTGCTGCTGACAGCCAAAACCAGCTGCTCACATGATCAAGGAGGACCATCAGCCTAACAATGGACCATTAGCACCTGATGGCTGCTTGATATTCACAGGGGGTTGAGTGATACTAGCAATAACCGCATTGTAAGAGGGGTACAGTTGAACCCGGAGGCTCCACCCCTGTTTAATGATGGACGATTTCTTTTCACAAAGATGGCCTCCTTTACTCCTCTCTCAAACCATCATTCCTCTCTGTCCAGGATGTGAACATCTTCATCCTTGAAAGAGTGACCTCTGGCATGAAGATGAGTGTAGACCGCAGAATCCTGGCCTGATGATGTTGATCATCTGTGCTGGTCCATCCTTTTGGCCAGTGGCTGTTTTGTTTCCCCGATGTAAGACTGATCACAGCCCTCCTGACACTGAACAACATACACAACATTGCTCTGTTTGTGTCGGGGGACTGGATCTTTGGGATGAACCAGTCTTTGCCGTAATGTATTTTGGGGTTTAAAAGCCACTGGGACGTTATGTTTAGAAAATAAACATCTCAGTTTCTCTGATACTCCCTCAACATATGGAATGACCACTGGTCTAGATCTGGATTCCTCCTTTTTACCTGATGGCTGGCTGGAGTCCTGTTTGAGTTTCTTCTCTGCTTTCAGGAAGGCCCAGTTAGGATATCCACATTGCTCTAGAGCCCGTCTTGTGTGGGATTTCTCCTTCTGCCTGGCTCCTGAGTTAGTGGGGACACTGTCTGCTCTGTGATACAGAGTCCTGATGACTCCTAGCTTGTGCTCCAAAGGCTGATGGGAGTCAAACTGCAAATACTGGTCTGTGTGAGCCCACACAGACCAGTAAGCGGTACACCACCAACACTGTTTATAGTGGAGGTGGTGTGCTGCTGACCTCAACTCGAGATGTCGTGGGTCGGTAGGCAGAATACTTCAAAGACCTCCTCAACCCCACTGGCACGTCTTCCACTGAGGAAGCGGAGCCTGGGGACTTTGGGTCGGGCCCTCCAATCTCTGGTGCTGAGGTCACTGAGGTGGTTAAAAGGCTCCTCGGTGGCAGGGCCCCAGGGGTGGATGAGATTCGCCTGGTGTTCCTCAAGGCTCTGGATGTTGAATGGTTGTGTTGGCTTACACGACTCTGCAACATTGCGTGGACATCGGGGGAAGGTCCCCTGGATTGGCAGACAGAGGTGGTGGTCTCCCTATTCAAAAAGGGGGACCGTAGAGTGTGTTCCAACTACAGGGGGATCACACACTTAAGCCTCCCTGGTAAAGTCTATTCGGGGGTTATGGAGAAGAGGGTCTGTCAGACAGTCAAACCTCGGATTCAGGAGGAGCAGTGCGGTTTTCGTCCTGGTCGTGGAACAATGGACCAGCTCTACACTCTCAGCAGGGTCCTGGAGGGTGCGTGGGAGTTTGCCCAACCAGTCTACATGTGCTTTGTGGACTTGGAGAAGGCGTTTGATCGCGTCCCTCGAGGAACCCTGTGGGGGGTACCCCGGAAGTATGGGGTACCAGGCCCTTTGATACGGGCTGTTATGTCCCTGTATGACCGGTGTCAAAGCCTGGCCCGCATTGCCGGCAGTAAATGGTAAATGGACTGTACTTATATAGCGCCTTTCTATCTTATTTCAAGATACTCAAAGCACTTTACACTACAATCTGTGCCTCATTTACCCATCCACACAGCACTAGATCTCTACAAAGCTAATTGAACAAATCATTCTAATGAGACTAATAAGTGCTTTAGATCACATTCATACACCAATGGGACACACATCAGAGGCTATGAGGGGTTCAGTGTCTTGCTCAGGGACACTTCAGCATGTGACTGCTGGTGGATTTGAACCCCCAGCTCTCGCATTGGAGAACGACTGCTCTAACCACTCAGCTACAGCCGCCCCACAGTAAGTCGGGCTCATTCCCGGTCAGAGTTGGACTCCGCCAAGGTTGCCCTTTGTCACAGATTCTGTTCATAACGTTTATGGACAGACTTTCTAGGTGCAGCCAAGGTGTTGAGGGGATCTGTTTTGATGGCCTTACGATCGCTTCTCTGTTTTTTTGCAGATGATGTGGTCCTATTGGCTTCATCAGATCGTGATCTACAGCTTTCGCTGGAGCGGTTCGCAGACAAGTGTGACACAGCCGGGTTGAAGATCAGTTCCTCCAAATCCGAGGCCATGGTCTTGAGCCGGAAAAGGGTAGAGGGCCCTCTCCGGGTCAGGGAGGAGATCCTGCCCCAAGTGGAGGAGTTCAAGTATCTTGGGGTCTTGTTCACGAATGAGGGAAAAATGGAGCATGAGATCGATAGGCGGATAGGTGCAGCATCTGCAGTGAAGTGGGCGCTGTACCGGTCTGTTGTGGTGAAGAGAGAGCCGAGTCAAAAGGCGAAGCTCTCAATGTACCTGTCGATCCACGTTCCTACCCTCATCTATGGTCATGAGCTTTGGGTTGTGACCGAAAGAATGAGATCTCGGATACAAGCGGACAAAATGAGTTTTCTCCACAGGGTGTCTGGGCTCTCCCTTAGAGATAGGATGAGAAGCTCAGTCATCCGGGAGGGACTCAAGAGTAGAGCCGCTGCTTCTCCACGTCGAGAGGAGCCAGTTGAGGTGGCTCGAGCATCTGGTTAGGATGCCCCCTGGACGCCTTCCCGGTGAGGTGTTCCGGACACGTCCCACCGGAAAGAGACCCAGAGGAAGACCCAAGACACGCTGGAGGGACTATGTTTCTCGGCTGGCCTGGGAACGCCTCGGGATTCCCCCGGAGGAGCTGGACCAAGTGGCTGGGGAGAGGGAAGTCTGGGCCTCCGTACTTAGGCTGCTACCCCTGCGACCCGACCCCGGATAAGCGGAAGAAAATGGATGGATGGACGTGAATGTTCCTGTAAAGTGCCCCGAGACAACTTTGTTGTGATTTGGCACTATATAAATAAACTTAAATGAATTAATAGTTTAAATAAACAATTCATGCTGCATTGATTGTTTATTTAAAATATTAGTGAGTAAATTCAAATTGTTTATTTAAAGGAGGGAGATTTGGAGTAACAGTTGATAGTGTGATTGCAGCCTGGCTCATGTCATGACAAGGTTTACTGGACTACTGTATCCCTACTTTGCAGTTTTTCCACTTATCGCGGGTGGGCAGGGTACATAACACCTGCGATAAACGAAGGACTACTGTAGTGACATCCAACCTGTCATTGTGCTGTGAATGTTTAGAGTGGTAACTGAATCATGTGTGTCTCAACCACCACCAAAAAAAAACAAACCACAAACTGTGGGGAAACTTCTTAGTTCATGGTTGCTGTAATATACTCCCCTCCCCCCCCATATTACTGTCCTGGAAAATGCTCATTAAAAAAAAAAAATCTGTTTGGGAAGCCTGTTCACAAACAAAAACACTTACGTGTACCACGGGCACATCTCAGTAGGCTCCTTCAGGTTGGCCCCTGTTAGTCCAGAGCACGGCATGAAGTGAATATCTTTCTTCGGGTTGAAGCCCACTTTTTTCAAAAATGGCACAAGCTTCTCTTTACACTCTTCGTACCTAACAATTCAGGCACAGAGATCAACGTCAGGCATTTTCTAAAGAGCAGGGCTTACACTTACACTCACTCAAACCCACAGGTAGTCAATTGATTATTATTGTTTATTATATTAACAGATTATTAATGGTCCACATTTGTATTTAGACTTCTTCAGGTTGTGCACACCTCAAGTTTCTCATTCACTGACAGAGTGCTTTCTATCATGTTAACACATATACTGTGATTGTATTGAAGTGTCACAAAGATGAATTTCTGTTTTTCAATTAAACACATGGATGGTACTGTCTCAGAGCTCTTTGGATCACTTAAATCAATCTCAGACACCTGTGTTTACCAGTTGAGCTCAATTAAAGGAAAACCTACAGAAGAGGGATGTTCCACATTATTAAGCATACCACCAGTTTCAAGATATGAGATTATTTTCTCAAGAAAAAGATGCGAGTGTGGCAGCAGCCTCATCAACAGCTCAGACTAGGAGGCTGGAGTCATTTAAACCATAGATGTTCTGTGTGGTGAACGTGTTGGTGAACACACCGTTTAAACTCTGAACTCTGATGAAAATGTCTCACCAGCATCACAGACATGAAGAAAGTTATGAAGTCATAATCAGCAGCAGCTGTCAATCAGTTTTGTAAAGCGAGATAACATTAATTTTCAATAATCTAATAAAGAATTATTTCACAATGAATTCATCTTTATTCTTAATCTTGCAGCAGTCCCAGCTGAATGCATGCAGCTCAGAAACTTCAGTTTGTTTTCTCTGACTACAGACAAGATCATGAACTGTGATCCACATCAAAACATCTTATTGTGAACTTTTGAATAACAGTTTGAACCCTTTAACTTTATGGCTGTTCCTCAAACCAACCACCATATTTAACTGATTAAAATACTAGTTTAAAATATTTTCATACAAAAAACTAGTCAGTCTTTTAGAGCGGTTTTAGCCTGAATTAAAAATATCTAATTTAAATTATTTTTTTATAACAACACTTTAGTTGTTTTTGTTTGAAAACTCTACATAATTTTTTTTTTTAATGACAAAATGTTTATTGTAAGGTCATTAAAAAGGTGTATGTTCCTCCATTGGTCCGCCCTCTGGGTCAACATTCACATCCTCCTCTGTTGTCCAGGGCTCAGAACTCATGCTTGGTTCTGTTGATCTAGTGCGAGGGGTTCTGGACACCCTTCTTTCAGACCTCCAAGTGGGACTCGGTCCTCTTCTAAAACTAATCATAATCACCCTCTTCATCAACAAAGTCCCCTCTGTCTGACTCAGACTGCTTTCTCCTTCATGATCCTCTCCTCTGTCTGAGAGGTTCTGACTCGGCGGTTCCGTCCTCCTCTGGATCTTCAGCTCCGTCCTCCTCTGGATCT